CTGCGCATAGGAATGTTTATTATTTCCACATTTGATTACACGCTGTTTAATCAACTTAATTTCACCCTGGTTTAATTTACTGCCTATTCCCATTTATGGCCTACTTTTGCAAACCATTACGTATTCTACCACATTGCTTGCCAACCGTTCATCAGTATTTCATTCCGAGTTTAGCTCACTTAGACGTAAGCGACCGATTTTCTTATAACATCAAACCAGTCGCTAAGCTCGTAAACAATGATTTACCAAGCAGAGTGTTAACTCACTAAATGTTCTTTCCTGCCTTTGTTTTCCGAAAACCAGCATACATTGACTTGTGCTCGGCTGAGATTTTCACCAGATGTCGAGGTTGCATAATTTCGACTAAATACCATACTGAAATTTAGTCAGTAATCTATAGTTTCTCAACCAAAGCATCTATGTTATAGCAATTTAGTACTGTGGTTAAAAACTATGTTCCAGTATATAAAATATAATAAATAGTTTATCACATGGCTAAAGAATATTTCATCTTTTTAAATGTAATGTGGGCTTTATTAACGGGTGATGACTTTTGTATCCAATTTTTATGAAAACAGCCATAATTATCAGTAACGTCGACAAGCATGGTCAACAAAATGTATGCAACTGGGTGCGTTACATTTCTCAGTATATGTCCTGTATTTGCATGCACCTTTGATATATTATCTAATTATGTGCCTTTTCCAATTGATATATCGCAAACACAGATAATTTACCGTCAACTTAAACGACATTACAAACATATACTTGCTACGTTTTTATCAGGATGGCACTTATGATTGCAAATTGATCATCAACGGACTAGCCAAGGGAACTTCACTCCTAGAAACGTTTGGGATAATCCTATTTACTACTTGCACCATGAGACTGGACCTCCATCGCGAGGAGACTGGCCCTTAACGTAATACGGTGGTTTGAGCGCCTTAGCGCTCCAATGAGCCATGCCTGGTTGTGCATTTTTGCATCTTCAGAGCCACTCATACCAGATAGTTCCTATGTTAGAGGCCACAAAATCTCCGTCTCCTGGCCCTCCAGGTTACGAGTTAGAGTGAGGGTGGCTCCTTACTCCATAAGCATGTTCTGTAGTCCAATGCCAAAACCCCACTGACTAGCGTAAGGTTTTGAACCAAAGGCTTTGGTTGAGAACCCCAATCGTTCTCTTGTCTAGGCCTAAGCAAACTGACAGCAATCTGCCCACGCAATACAACATGACATTTCCTTTTAACAACCTATTGATGCTCTGGCCGTCCCAGAGGATAAAATACGGCGCCCCATCTGCTGCATGGAACAAAGTGGATAGGGGTTTGGATGCCACTGCTCATGCCTTCCCGCTACCTTATTATCCTCCTTGCTCTTCTTCAACCTTAGCTTCCCGATGTAAACTCACTTTCATCCCACTTTTTATAACCCGTTAATTCTTTGCCCTCCCCACCTTTATTTGACGTATGCTTGCCTTTTATTTTCAAGTCACACACAATCGCAGCGCGTCGCTCCAATCCAGTCGACAAGTCCATGTTCAAATAAGCAGACACATCAGTTCATACGTTTTCCCTTGTAGTCCTTCATCCTCACTAAGACCGGCATGCCTCAAGATGCTACAGCTTGCTACAGCTTGGCCAACATGCAGCACTCGCCCAGAAACTCGAGGGCCTCTCGATCAGTATTTGTTGTTTTTCGGAAACCGCCTGCAAGAATCGAGTTCCGTACTTTCTCTGCCATCCCTCACATGCGACGCTGACGGCACATACTCAAAGCGCCTGTCAGGCGATGATGCAGCTTCAAATGCCGGTCAAACTTGCGTCAGCATTGTTTTCAGTTCACGGGCTGAAGCTGCCCTGTTCGACTAGATCCCTGTTAACAGCCGGATTTGCGCCGTTAGGTAGGCTGGTTTTTTCCAGGCTTCGAAGTCACGCGTACACAACCGGTGCCCGTTTGGCACTATGGCTTACGCCCCCAAAAACTGCAGTCCTGATTCGATGAAAGCTGATTTGTATCCCCAACTTAGCGCTCTTCTTCGTTACAGAAGAAGCACGATACTGTGTTCTTTGCTGCTGATCTAAACACCCAATTCGAAAAATTGTCCTCTAACAAACGTCATATGGGAGGCCAACTTGATGTAGCCTCCTGTGATGATAACGCTCATCGGTGGCTACACCTGTGTGAAGTTGCTCGTCTCTTTGTCCGGAGTATTAACTTTCAACGCTGCACCCGCAGAAGAATGGCTTCGCGCCCATCAGTCTCGGGCGAACCATGGACGCAAGGCGACCACATCTGCTGAGAAAAAGTGCGCCAGGTAAATATGTAAACATTGTCAAAGCGCTGTACGCGTGTAGTTTGGGCTGAGGGAGGGTTTATGCAAACTGCAGCCGCCCTTTAATATCTCCAGCTGTATAAGACAAGGTTGCTCGCTGTCGCCTTTCCTCTTTAGCTTGGATATTGATGAAACTATGGAAACCGCGTTCGTTGGACAAGAACAGAAAGGTGTGGACATATTTACTGTTGAAAGACCTTTTGACTTGTAGTATGCCTACGACCCTGTCGTTAAATGTGGCTACGCCAAAATTTTCTAGGCTACAATGGGCCGATTACCAACGGTGGCCAATTGTTTTGGGCTATGCATTGCTCCATCGAAATGCAGTTATACTCCAATATTAGCCCGGTCCCTCTCCTGCGCTGACCCTTGGTGGTTATCTGCTAGAGCACGTTCAGGATTTCAAGTATCTGAGCAGCCATATTACCGTCCGTGGGATCAAAGCTGAGATTACGCATTGTTTAGCAAAAGCTCGATATGCTTTTGTCGATCTCCGCCACTTGCGTAGCAGACGTGACCTCGCTTCCTCACTGAAATGTGGATTGTATAATGCAGCCGTCCATTCAACCCTATTATACGCTTGTGAAACTTGGCCCTTCAGATCGACAGACACTAAGAGGCTGGTCACTTTCGAGCGTCGCGGGATTCGCATCTTATCTGAAGTCTGGTTCGAGCATTGCATGAGCAATCAGCGTGTTCGTTCTCGCGTACTTGGTGCAGGAAGAGGGAGTAAACCGCTCAACTTTATTATACCAAACACCACGCACCGATGGCTGAAGCACGTGTTGCGCATGCCAGCACAGCTACTCCCGCGATGTGCATTGTTTGCCCGCTCGGCGTGCGGTTGGAAGAGAAATAGGAGAGGTCTAGCGTTGACTTGGTCGAGAGAAATGATAATGCTTGCTTCGAATTTGGCCTCGGTAAGCGCATCCAGTCTGCCTGCCTTGTGTCCTAAGGCGATGAATAGGTAAATTTGAACCCACTGGCTAATGTGACAGGGAGCCGGCCCTAACGGAGTTTGTGTTGTAAATTACTTTTCCATCAGCCTCCCACTTAGCCTATTCGACAATCACAATATCATTCTTTACGCGTAATGTAACTCTTTTTGTGGTACGATATCTAATTGTTAGCTCTCCGAAACGATGTCCATCCTTTACTTGGGACTCTTGTATTTTCTTCTTGTCCTTTGTATTGCGGCAACTTAGCTGAGGTGTTATCCATCTGCAGTTAGCTTGTATATTGAGGTTGATCATGACTTGTACTCATATGCACCAATCTAGATTTGTCATGCGTATTAGATTTAAATACCTCACTTTCGATGTTACGAAACTAGGATGACGCAAAACCGCCTTATGTCCACCGTGTTTGCAGCAAAACTCAAACAAGGCAACGTTGTTTATAAATATATCTTGAATTTAGCTTTAATTGCCTACCCTTTATTGGGGAACACCACCAGTTTTTTACATGGATTACTTTCGATCGGCCCTTGTGTACAAGTATATCTTTATAGCGTTATTTTTGTACGACGCGTACTGATCAGCAGAAGTAAGGGTTCGTATTATTTTAGTTTGCACATCAAGCACTGCGTCTTGCTTTCGCTCTTTGTCTATTTGTTTGCTCGACACACGGTGTCGTATATACTTCTACCACCTGAATTCATTGATATAACTATCTATTTGTTTCACTGACCCCATTTAAATTGCCACTCCACTACTATCACTCAAGCGCTAGCTATCTTTCCAGTTTGTTTAATCTTCCTCATAACCGTAAATGCCCGAGGAGAAATAGGGAAAAGAGATATTACGTCGGAAGTCCTCTTCTTATGTCTAACGTGGAAGACTTTGAAACGATAATGTGTTCGATTCATTAAATTTCATTGTTTAGTCTGAAAGAAAAAGGATGGACAAAAAATAAGAAATATATATGTATAACCTTTCTATATATTCAATATTGGCTAAAGTATTCAAACTAGGAAGAACAGCGCGTGACTGTTATATACTTGCAACTCAACAATTTGAGGTAGGATAAAATGTAAATAACCGCGTCAGAGGACATGGATATTTATTGTTGGATCCTCCTATCTTCTAGATCTCATGCCTAAGGTGTTACTGGAAGAGGTGGATAGCAACCGTTTTACTGAGACGTTAAACCAATCGGGTGTCCTAATATAACCAACCTGTATGAAAAGCAAAGGAACTTTTATGGCTTGTATGATGACAGCTTTAAATTAAGATACCAAAGTGGAATGACAAATACAATAATAAATGTTTCGCTGAACAAGAATATGTACAAAGCTCATCAACTATAACCTGACTGTACAATACAAATTCAGGCACTTAGTTTCACGCAAATCTTTAACGTTTGAAGAGGACGCTATTCGGCTTTGCATTATTCTGTATATATGACTCAGTGTAACATTGGCGGAATCATGCTGCGTCTTGTTCCATACACTTTCGGTAGCACCGGTTAGACAGCTTAAGTTGCTAAGGATAGAACGCAGTTGCTGTAATATAACTGTTACATCTATTTTATCAACGGCACGGTTTCGCTGCATTTGAATTAATGAGCGCTGCTAATCTACTCTTTGTTCGAGCACTGGTGGGGACCAAGCATCATATACACAAGAACTAACAGTGGGTAATCTTGCCAACGTTTCTTTACATTGCAGTTTCTAGACAATTATACATTCGCTATTCGGACTGGACCGTTTTATAACTGTTTATATCAAGTTAAACTTGCATACAGAAATGCAATAATTGTTAACTTGGAGCTAAGGAACTCACTAGACGGAATACCACTTGATTCAATGAACGATGCAGAGATTGCTTTGAGAACAGAATCATTGTTTAACTCCAACATGGACAGATGCATCAGTTATGATGTGGCATATTTACTTGCTTTATTTCAAAAAGGTAAATCTTTATTGCTTGGAAGGTAAAATTAAAGAGACAACATTAAGTCTTTAACGTTTATATAATTAGACGAATACAAGTCTAACATTTCAACGTTTGTTACTAAAAGGGCCGTAGTTTAACTCGACAGCATGCGCTGACAAAAAGAACCTTAAATATTTACTCCGTACAAAACCGATTATTAAGTATCATGAAATGCAAAATCAGAGGTGTTTTGGAGAAACTATTCATGATTGAGCGCTTGCCTAAGATAAGTAGACAGCGAGTAGAAGAAATAGCAGTTTTTACCGGCTTAAATTGTTAAATTTTACCTTGTCTTAAATAAATATTTGTGCATTTAATTATGGTATTTGTTCTATAGCGCAGGTTTCTTTTTGTTATAAATCAACAGATAAACTGGTTTACATTTCGTCGTCCCTTTAATGCGCCACTTACTTCCAATTCGCATTTGCTTTCAACGTTTACTGATATTCTAGTGGCATTTAAAGATAATAATTAAGTAACGGTTATGTTTTAAGGAATGCAAAATGAATACTGCGGTGAGTTTTACATATTTGTGACTACGGTAGAAAGAATATGCAGTTATAATCAGTAAGGGATATAACAATGTAATTATGACATCAGCTGTGGAATTCTGAGGAGAGAGCATAAGTCTAGCAACCAGTATTCCAGATTAAATTGATTGACTCGCAAGGCGGATATCGGCATACTGCTCCAATCCGAAGAATCTAAACTACAAACCAAAACTTCAGTGTAAGTAATTACAGAGGCGCAGTGCAAGTGTGTTTAAAACTTGTTTGCGATGCCTTAGATTTATGACCTGTTATCAGATTCGGAACGGTACCAACGTCTTTCATTAATCGGGTTTGGGGAACACTTTAATACAAACAACCTTTCGTTACAAGAGAAGGCGCATGTATGCCGTTATCGGATAATACCGAAATCATAGTTTCGACTGTTAATTAATTAATTAGATTTGTCAATTAGACAAAGTTGGTCAGCATTGTTACCATATTGTTGTAGCGCAGAGATTGTGGTCTGCATTCCCCATTATATCTACTTTCTCTATGTATATGCATATATATATATATATATAACTACAGATTTCTCTTAACAAGGCCGTTCTAATTTGAAGCTGAGTAATTTAATAAGGCGCTAGATTTTGTACACATGATGTCGGTTTCCATTCTATCGAAAATTAAGCAACATAACTCATATAATCTGTGTGCTCCATTATCTAGCTTTGTATTTTTCGGGTCCACCTGATGAAGATGGCTGCCAAAAGGTAAGTTAGTTTTCGTTATAAAAGTGCATATTGGTTTCTATTAAGATTACCAAGAGTTCGAGGTTTAGATAAAAATATTTGGTACTTCGTCGAGCCAACCTTTACGGCAGTAAAATGTCGTCACTATGAAAGACGACCTTCTTTGATCAAGCTCGCATAAAAAGCAAAGCAAATGTCATTGGCTGGTTGTATTTCCGGTCCAAGTTGGCCACAAGAAAGTATAGCATTGTAAAGTGCTCCAGATTTGTAAGTCTTATTGAGGGATTAAAATCTTAGGACCAGAAAGTAGCCCATTATTGTTCACGACGGCAACATGCAGTTTTCATGTTCAAAGATAAACTTGATGCGATATGCTGCTGATGCATCTGAAACGAAAATTTACTTGGCTTTTGGGAACATGGGTCCGCTTAGAAACGACTGCTACGAACTCATATTCTAAAAGTGCAGATGTGCAGGAATATAGCTTAAAGTGGCACGATCATGTAGAAGCAGGCTGCGACTAAGTACTGCAACATGTAATTGCTTTACGGCATGTTCCAACGGAAGAAACCGCATGAAATTTTTTGTATAATTTGCTTAGCTTCAACTAAGCCATTGCAACATGGGGTGTGTCTACGAAATATCAGCAAGTGGTTGCGGTAGTTAAATATTTGTAAGTTTTGGGGAAAGTGAAAATGACACAATGAATTATGCGGCTGTCACGGGAACTGAGGGCGCTAGCAAATACTATGGGTTGAATTTCACATAATGATAATGGTGCTGGAACCCACATAATGCAAAGTTGCATCAATGGACTGTTTACCGAGTAATTTGGACGAAAGCACTAATACGCTTAGTCTAATTGGATAATTGAAACTAATTGCTTGGCAAACACAACACTAAATAAGGAAACGCTAGCCAAATGCTGAACGATAAAAAGGAATAAAAATAGTCAATATCATTTAAAATAACTACGCTAGAACCCAATATATATAGATGAGTTGCAGGACTAAATATTGCCAAATCTGAGCAAGAACCTTTCTATTATTTTGCAACTGACATCTACAGTAAGATAGATGGTTATTTTCATCGGTGAAAAATATCACTATTTCGCAGGGCTGCTTCTAATAAGCCGTATTTGCGTCGCTGCTTTTGGCAACAGGGTGACTAGACATAACTACTCGTTAGGCGCTTCTACTTACTTCGCCGTATAGCGCAAAGACATTCATAAGGTTTTATGATGCGCTCGGACAATGGTACACTCTATATAACATGAAAATGGACCACACTATAATATATTAGAGAGCAGGATGCTCCTTCATTTGTTAAAAATCTGAGTTATGTACTAACACAAATATGCTGTTGATGGCCTAACATGCAATTGTGGAGCAAGATTTATTTGAGCAGTAACCAAATATTAACTAGCCGCAAATTCGTAAGAAATGAACGTCAAGAATAATTAAACTGCCGGAAGGTGTTTTAGCAGGGTGCCAAGGCAATAATTGTTAACAAGTTAACGTTTCCGGTTATTTTATATCCGCGCGTTCAGCCTGGAGTTACTGTTTAACGTAAATAATAAGCAATATATTCGCCTAAGCCGCAGCAAGACTTTTGTATAGCTTGTGTAATCACAGGAAAAATTACATTTCAGATGTACATCTACTGACCTAACTAGCTAGTTGACTTTACTGTGCAAATGCCTTTTATTGTCTGCAGCAATTCATACACACGTGTGGTACACCAAAGCTAAAACGGAACCATATGTTTACTCTGCTAGGTCTAGCTTATATTCACATGCCCTTGTCTAGGTAGCTAGGTCATTGTAATTAATGCCTTTTACCTAGTATGTTTCTTCGATACATATGTTACACAAAGTGGAATAAATAAATGCAAATTATCCAATAACAAAAATACAGCCTTGTTGTTTACGTGCCAGCAAATTTTGGTGCCAAGCTGTATATTAAGGTAATACTGTAAAGAGGTATTACTTAGAAAACTTGTCTTGTCTTAAACAATGGAACATACAGCGTTGCTCTGCGCACTTGGTCATACGTACTTTGTGAGGATTTCATAAAAGTTTTCGCTTATTACACATCAAGTGTACACTTGCGATTAAATGAATCCGGGGCGAACTCTATAAAAGATAAGATATTGGACGACAAAAACAGTGGGACTCCCTGTGTCAACTGATGGAGGTTCAAGTTAAACCAGTCAGTATGATGCGTCTCGTCCGTCACCCAAACTCCATACACTATGGTGATCCACGTTTACTCCAGGTAACACTACAATCAGCTAATGATGCAGAGGAAGTTCTCTTGTCAGCTACTCGTCTCCGTACCACATCATGCACAGTTCGAATCTTTCCAGATGTTCCTTGGAGTGGACGTCAAAAACGCAAACAAAATCCGGACGACTTCCGTAGACGACAAGACGCCAAATCTGTTCTTGTTCACGGTGTCCCCGAGCTCAAGATCTCAAGCGATCTAGAGGCCAAAGCGCATGACTGGGACAATGGAGTTTTATTCGCGAACTGCTCTCACTCGAAAACGTTATTGCTACTTCGACATCAAGGTTACCACCCTCACCAAACTACAAAGGATGTGGTCCCCGAGTGATGAAAATATCGTTGCATTCCGATATCATGGTAGAATATGTGATCCATACGTGGCGCAAAATGCGTCAAATGCTACCATCCGAAATACGTATAAAGACGATGGGCACTGAACCACCAACAGGTCATGTCACACTAAGCAAGCAACGTACCAATACAATTCTGCCGCCATGTAGCTCAGACAAGAGACAATGCCAAAACACGCTGCCGGCTGAAGGAGGACAAGTTGGTCACCCAATCGTTGGCGCTGAGAGCTTAATACAACGACCTGAACTGGCCCTAGTGTCTGCAGCATCGGTCCTACAAAAAAACTACCGGCAGCCGACCCCACAAGGGTCGGCGTAAACTCCAACCGAAAACCAGAATCTACAAACACTCTTCTAACCACCGATGCCCTCACCTGCTTCTATACTTATGCACAAGGTCTTCTCAGCAAGCTAACCGAACTTCGATTTCGCCAGCTCTCCACGCCCTAGGACCTAGTTATGGTCACCGAAACCTGGCTGAGCACGGACATCGCGGATGCCGAGATTGCGCTACCTGGCATGAGTTCCTTATGAAAAGATCGGCCTAGCAGAGGAGGCGGAGTGCTTTTGTATTATCTATCCGACCTACATGTGGAGATCATTGATGACTCAGAAGCAAACATCAACGATTCTCTTTGGTGTCGTATGCACCTGAGACGTGGCGACGTGTGTTTGTTAGCAATAGTTTACCGTCCTCCAATGTCTACCTTGGAAATGGATCAAGGCCTTGCTGCTGCGATGAAACGAGTATTGACACGTCCACACAGTCAAGTTCTTCTGGTGGGGGACTTCAATCTGCACGCACTCGAAGTTCTAGCATCGCCCAGCGAACAGTTCAAGGCTGATTTGCAAGAACTGATTACCGATGTACCACTGTATAACAATGTCACCTCCCCCACTCGTTTCAGAACGGATGACACCCCTCTGTCTTGGACCTTGTGCTCACCAACGAGGAACTAATGATTGACACCGTTACCATAGCTACGCCACTAGGTCGTAGTGATCACGCGACGTTGCACTTTCGTTACATCTGTTATTCGGAGTACGTTAGAGAGAACGACGAGGAAACTTATATGGTTACACGTTATAACATCTTGTC